GACGTCGCCCGTACGTCCATGATGCATGCGGCTGCCCCCCATTTTATGTGGCCGTTTGCGGTTCGGTACGCGGCGCATCAGATCAACCCTCACCCCAGGGTCTCCATGCCGAAGACCTCCCCACCTTTGCTGTGGACCGGGAAGGTTGGTGATGCATCTGCGTTCCGTGTCTGGGGATCTCGGGCGTTTGTTCGCGACTTGTCTGCGGACAAGCTGTCCCCTCGTGCTGCTCCTTGCGTCTTCCTTGGCTTCCCCCCTGACGCGCCAGTGTGGCAGTTCTACCACCCCACCTCTCGCCGTGTTCTGTCCTCCCAGGATGTCACGTTTGACGAGTCGGTCCCCTACTACCGCCTCTTCCCCTACCGCACTCCGTCCCTCCCCCCGCCAACGCTCTTCCTTGTGCTAGATCCCCCCCCGGTAGACCCCCTCCCCCCTCAAGGTCTTGCCCCTTCAAGTGTGTCCGAGGTAGACGCAGTCGAGCCTGTCCAGGTTATTGGTGACTCTGGTGCTGCTGAGGGTGCTGAAGCCTAGGGGTGCTGACTCTGGGGGTGTTGAGCGTGTGGGTGCTACGCCTGGAAGTGCTGAGCCTGGGGGTGCTACCACTGAGGGTGCTGAGCTTGGGGGTGCTGAGCCTGGGGGTGCTACTCCTGAGGGTGCTGAGCCTGGGGGTGCTACGCCTAGAGGTGCTGAGCCTGGGGGTGCGGAGCCTGAGGGAGGTGGGCCTGCTCTTGTGGCGTCTGGCGGTGTTGGACTTGGAGGTTCTTCGGGTGCTTCGTCTCGGCGGGAGCCACTCTCTCCACAGGAGCTGCGCGAGTGGTTTGCCCGTCGCTCGAGGCGTGCTGCTGGAGCTGGAGATTCTTTGGCTGCTGAGGGTGCTGGTGCCGAGGGTCCCGGAGGTGCTTGTACTGGGAGTACTGGAGCTGCTGGGCCTGCGGGTACGACTGGAGCTGGAGCTGCTGAGGCTGTTGGCGCTGAAGCTACTGCAGTCGGTCCTGGAGGCGGTCCTGCTGGGGGTGCTACTGGTGCTGCTGGAGGTACTGGAGCTGGAGGTGCTGCTGACGCTGGTGCTGCCACTGGGGTTACTGGTGCTGTCCCTGCTGTGTTTGGAGTCGCCGCGCGGCCTGGACGGTACTTCGTTCCTCTCCTTCAGCAGGTTCTTAGTCTCCCGCCTTCAACTGGTCCTCCTACTCCCTTAGAGTGTCCGCAGCCTGACCCGTCACACTTACAGTTACAGCCGGCCTCCCCACTGCCTGCTCCTTCTCCCTACACTGGTCCTAATGGAGGTCTTGCTGAGCGTTGTGAGCTTGCGTCTCGCCCTGCGTTGCCTGTCCGTCCTGCTCGCACTAGTGGTCGCGGTTCGCGTTAGCGTCCTCCTCCTGTCCCTGGCACGCACCGGATGTCTCTGCGTCCGTCCATTGCTCCTCTGCGTGCCCCTTTGCCTTCTCCTCGTGAGTCCTCTCTTCCTGTTCTTGCCGGCCTGGAGTCGGACCCTCCTCGTGCTGCCAGTCCTACTGTCACGCGTCTCCTTGCTACTGACGACACTGACCCTTCCTTTGAGTCCACTGCTGCGTCTGCCCTAGTTGCTGAGCTCGTCGACTTTGCTGCTCGCTGTCGTATAGACTACGCAGCTAGTCTTGTCGCTGAGTCTGAGTCTGTCTGTCCTCCGTCCATCGGGGGTGAGTGTTCCCTTGGCACGGACGTCCTTGAGGACTAACAGAAGGAGTTCCAGTGTTTGGCTGCTGCTTCACCTCATCTCGTGTCCGTACTGCTTACCCCTGAGGGAGACCCGGATGCACTTGACATCCTGACTCCGCGCTCTTACGCGGAGGCGATAGAGGGTCCCTACTCCTCTCAGTGGCAGGCAGCTATGGAGAGAGATGGCTTCCTGGAAGTTCACAGGCACCTATGTTGACGAGGTTCCCCCGCCTGGGGCGAACATCGTCAGTGGCATGTGGATTTTCAGGGTGAAGCGGCCGCCGGGTTCTCCGCCTGTCTTCAAGGCGCGTTACGTGGCTCGTGGCTTCAGTCAGCGGCAGGGAGTTGACTACTTTCAGACCTTCTCTCCCACCCCAAAGATGACCATTCTTCGGGTATTGCTGCACATAGCAGCTCATTGCGACTACGAGCTGCACTCTCTTGACTTCAGCACTGCTTTCTTGCAGGGCAGCCTGCACGAGGAGATCTGGCTGCGTCGCCCACCTGGCTTCACTGGGTCTTTTCCTCCTGGCACCCAGTGGAGCTTCCGGCGGCCAGTCTACGGTCTCCGCCAGGCACCGCGTGAGTGGCACGACACACTGAGGACTACACTTGCGGCTCTTGGGTTTGCTCCCTCTACTGTCGACCTGTCGCTGTTTCTGCGCACCGATATTTCTTTGCCGCCGTTCTACATCCTCGTGTACGTGGACGACTTGGTCTGTGCCACAGCTGACACTGCTGGACTCGCCCACGTGAAGTCCGAGCTGCAGAAGAGACACACGTGCACAGACCTGGGTGAACTGCGCAGCTACCTTGGCTTGCGGATCACCCGGGACAGAGCACGGCGCACCATTACCCTGACTCAGTCACACATGGTGCAGCAGGTCCTTCATCGCTTCGGCTTCACGTACTCCTCCCCTCAGGCCACTCCTCTGTCTACTCGCCACTCGCTCTCAGCTCTGCCTTCAGATGAGTCCATAGAGTCGAGGGGCCGTACCCAGAGCTTGTTGGCTGCCTCATGTTTCTGATGACCTGCACACAACCTGACCTTGCATACCCTCTTAGCATTCTCGCACACTATGTTGCTCCTAGGAGACACAGACCGGAGCACATGGCTGCAGCGAAGAGGGTGTTGCGCTACTTGTGCAGTACGTCGGGCATGGGGCTTGTGCTTGGAGGGTAGAGTCCAGTGGTCCTCACTGGGCACGCAGACGCTTGTTGGGCTGACGACCAGGCTACGCAGCGGTCGTCACAGGGTTACACCTTCAGCCTTGGTTCCGGCTCTGTTTCGTGGCGGGCTACCCGCTCGTCTTCTGTTCTCGGTTCCAGTTTTGAGGCTGAGATCTACGCCGGGGCCATGGCTGCACAGGAGCTTCGCTGGCTCACCTACCTGCTGACTGACCTCGGAGAGCCGCCTCATTCTCCTCCAGTGCTGTACGTAGACAACAAGGCCATGCTGGCCTTGTGTCGAGAGCAGAGACTAGAGCACAAAACGAAGCACATTGCTCTCCGCTACTTCCTTGCTCGTGAGCTATAGCAGCGTGGTCAGCTGCGCCTTGCGTACGTGGTCTCTGAGGCCAACACTGCTGATATCTTCACCAAGGCACTTGCGCCTTGTGATCATCAGCGCTTCTGTACTCAGCTGGGTCTTGTGCCTACCTTGCCTCACTTGCTCACCCCTTGACCTTGTTTGTACTGTTGCATATATATATACACCTGCTCTTGCTTGTCTAGCCTTATATATATATGTAATCCTGCATGTGAATTGGCCTTGTGGCCTTGAACTTGTGCTCGGAATGTGTGGTGACTTTGTGATCCACCCTGAGCTTGCTTTGCTTTGCTTGAATGGTCTTGTGACCCCTTGTTCTCCCCCACTTTGCCTATGGGGGTGTGTCAGATTTATATGACATAGTTACTGTAGGCTATAGTGGGGTAGCACATATGGGGTACAGCTTTTTAGGGTTTGTACTTGTACCCAACTTTCACTTAGTCATTTCATTCTCGTTCAGTTTCTCAGGGCCCACGTCCTAAACGGACGGAAACTGATGGTGACCGTGTGGGCGGCTATAGCACGTCCGAGATTTTAAGAGGAGAACTGCACCTGTAACTGCGGATTTTACGGGGTTCTTTTCGACCCAATATCTACGGAGTTTTGCGAGCAGGAAGCGCTGACAATTTCTGAGGAGTTACCGCGTTTGGTTAAATGCGCACGTCAAACAAAGTGGGGCAACACCGCGCGATTTACGCGGACTTTCAAGGGTTACGAACGATTTACGACGAACTGAAGAAGGCGGCAGCAACAGTGAAGGGGGGGAGAGAGAGACAGTTGCATTTTTTGTCTCTGCCTAGGAGCCCTCGGCACATTACGACAAATTTCTCGGCGGTTCTGGACAAAGCCGATGAAGGTGCTGACATCATCTGACACTGGATCAACATTCGACAACATTTTTGAAGTAACATTTTGGTTACAACTGCGACGACCATCGCCGACTCTCGATAATCAGCTCATTACTTCTCGCCTTCAACGACAATGTTTTTGTCACACCCCTGATTTCACGGCCAGAGAATTTCAGGACCAGGCCTGTCGAAGTTTCTGGGGCTCGTACTTGCGCTCCCCAGCTCCTCAGCATCTGGCCCTTGTTTGGGTGTAGGTGTGCGTTTTGGCGCCCTTAACGGTCACGGGCACACCCCAAAGTGAAAACTTGAAATCCGAGCATATTTGAAGTTTGCACTTACACTGTATTTTACTGTGATACGTGCAGTTTTCAACTTATATTAGATGTCAGTCATACCTAATACTACACTGTCTTCAATAGTCATGAAACCTACCTTGCCTACAATGTTATACTTTTCACTAACTACAGATTTAGCATGCAGATTTGACTACCCTACTCTACCCAAACATGCAATGCAAGCCTATTTGGCAGGCTTCCTCCCCTTCCTCCCCTTCTCCTCAAACAAGGCATAGGCCGCTGCCCAGTCCACTGGGTAGTCTGGCATCTTCACCGTCATCAGCTCCCCCAGCCTAACATCGGTAAGAGCAACACGATCCCACGACTTAATAATGTTTTGGCGGGAGAAGCCCCTCTCACACTCAACAGTGCTGAGGGGCAACACAGAGACTGCACGCCAGAGGGAGACTATGGTGGGATAGTCATCCTTCCAGTCTGCCGTGCGCAGCATGTTGGTGAGAGCCTGATGGAAGCTCTGCTTCTTGAACTTCTTCTCCATGGTGGCTGTGAAGAGGCGCATCTGCTGCTCTATGTCAGCAAGAGCGACTCCTGCCAAGGACATATACAACAAGGTTAGAACATGCCAATGTTGGAGAAAACCATATTCAAGGTTAGAACATAAACAAGGTTAGAACCTTTACAAGGTTCCTCCTCTACCCCTCTCGTCTTACCAGGTAGCTTGTTCTTGAACATGTCAAGGAGCTCGGAGAGATGGAGCTTCACCCACGCGTCCTGATCTCCTGCACGGTCGGGATACTTATCAGGGGAGAAAAAACCAACACCATCAAAATGACGCAGATTCGCCATCCTCTTCCCCAGCGCCTTAATCAGGCGCTGAGCGAAACGCCTCGCCAGGTCCACGCAGGCCTCCAAGTCGCATCCCCCCTTAGGGTTTTCAGGGTCGATGATGTCCTCGTAAAGCTCGATCTCGGCTTTTGCATGCTTGCCGTTCTCGTCCACTCCCTTGAGCTCCATCTTGCGCTTGTCCTTGCTGCCGTGTGCAGCAAGGAACTTGTTTAGGTGAGAGGTGTGTGGCCCGTTGGATGCGCCGGGCTTGACGTAGTACTGCGACAGCTTGGTCTTCACCTTGTCGACATGGTTCTTCACCTCTGTAATGTCGACCTGAAAGCAAACAGAGCGCGAAAAAATTAGAGCAAAGCACACAAGTCAAGAAGCGACAAGGCCATGCTCATCTGCACCTTACCGTGTGCTTCTGGAAGGACAGATTGAGTCCGTTGAGCAGCGTCAGCACGTCAGCCAGGAGATACAGCATGTAGTGGAACTTGAAGCTGGTAGTGAGTTTCTCCGTCTCGCCCTTCTCCTTCGTCCACATCCACATCAGCACCGGCAGCACGTCACAGAAGCGACTCACAGCATCCCCGCAAGACAACCAACGGACGGTGCAGAAGCCTTGCACCTCCAGGTGCGTCTGCAGAATGACGTCCTGGAGATGCATGTAGGTCTTGTGATCGATCGATGAACGCCCGAGACGCTCTGCAGTCTGGCGTATCATATGATCTACGATGTTGAACTCCTTGAAGCTCTTCGCGGCATCCTTGGCAGCCAATGCCTCGCTGCACAAGCACGAGACGTGCGTGAGTATGGTTGGGGAGGGGACAGGTGTACAATACGGCCGGAAGCAGTGCAGTGCAACCTTACCGATGCGCCACGTAGTGAATCGCCACCAGCCACGAGCAACGTTTCCGAAGCATGGCGACAACGGCGTTCTTCGCGCCAGTCATCACGGATGCACCATCCGTTGACACCCCGACAAGCTTGTCTAGCAACATGTTCTTCGACCACAAACACTTCACGATCGTGTCGTGCAGTGCTGCGGCGTCGCAACGTTCGAGCGACAGGAGAGCAAGAAACTGGGACACCACGGCCTCGGCTCTCTCAAACGTGACATACACGATGAGATGCTTTCCACGCGCGCGATTCGTGGATTCATCGAAGGAGAGGCTGTACCAGGCCGACTCTTTGATGTCCTCGAGCTGCTTGGCCACCAGATGCTCCGCCATAGCCTCTACGAACTCGCCAAAGGCGTATCTGCAATGAGCACCGAATGAAAATGTGAGTAAGTTATCCACAATAGAACAGCAGAAGAAGTAGAACAAAACAGAAGCATACGAACAGAAGCAAAAGCAGGAAATCAGGAGCAGAAACAGAGGCTAACAAGCACGTACCGCGAGTAATAACGACCGTACAATTCGTCGGTCATCATGTCGGGGCATCCTTGCTCCGCCATGAACCGCACCAACATGGGGTAGAGCGCGATAGGTGCATCGTTCCGCGCAATCCAGTGAGCTCCTTGCATGCATTTGACGACCCTCGCCATGACAGGATCGGTGCTGAGCATATTCAAGAGGCTGCGCTGCCTCACCTCCGTGCCTTCATAGAGTCGTTCAGCTTCCATGGCCGCGATGTGCACATTGGACTGGTCATGGTTGCGGCACGCCGACTTCTGAAAATCCCTTGCACCGACTCCAGCACCGCCAAAGGGAGACTTGGTGTTAGGAGCAAACTTATAGCAGACGGAACACTTCATACCATACTGGCGCTCATGTTTGTTGTACTTCAAGCTCAGCCACGAGTACGTCTGCTTCCACGACGTGCTGAAGCGACGTGCAAGACTCCTCTCGACCTCAGGGATCTCGGTGTCCGGGGGTACTTCTGCATCCTCTGCGATCGCGTTGTCTTGCGCCTCCAACTCTTCAGCAGTGGGTGGTGGCGGTACACATCGTGCGCGCTTTTGCGTGTCTGGTGGCGGACTAGCGAAGCTTAGGTGAACCTGACGATAACGGGCTGCAGACCTCGGTGTAGGCTGTGACGATGAGGCTTGCTGGGCGAGGCGCGGGTCCAAGACTGAGATTGCTATGTCTAGCATGTCTTCAGCATCCGTGGCTACGTAGGGCTTGGTCTCGGTTGTAGTATGAGAATAAGAGAAGTTCGTCGTGGCAAAACTGGAGGAGGGGTTTCACCCTCGCTATGGTCCATGGTGGGAGATTGTGGCTGACGAAGGGAACGGGTTAGCTAGCCAATATATGAACCTCGCGTGTGTGAGCGAGGCGACGCGAGATTTACTCGGCAGAGTTGGTGGGTGGAGGAGAAGTGCCACAGCACGGCACGAACGAAGGTGGAGAGCAGAGAGCTTGGGTGGGCGGTACCGTGGAGGTGGTCAGACGGTGGAGAAGAGAAAACATGGCACGAACAAAAGAGGAGAGGAGTGGGAGGTTGGGTGGGTGGGTGGTGGTGGTGTATGAAATGCATGGTGGTGGAGAGGAATCGTGGCACGCACGAACGAAGGTGGTGAGAGAGCTCCTACGCTGGAGTGCTTCACTTCATTTGACGTGCTTTGGAGTTCTCTGTGGCCGATAAACTTAGCCAGGTTCACCCAACCTAATCCTATGTGTCACAGCTGTAAACTGCGGCCAGCTGGTATTGGACGCTAAGGGAATGTTCGGGTGCTCCAAGGCTGACTGAGACACACTACACACACACAAGATTGGCTAGAAAACGCTAAGGGAAAAATCCCCTTGGCGCGCTCTAGTGCAGGCTAAGGAGAAGGGGGGGGGGGGGGGGGGGGGGGTCTCGGGCACCCTAGGTGGGGGGGGTCCTACGAGCGGAAACCAAAACTTAGATAGGGGGGAAGGCCTGGTTTTGTCCCTTAACGCATCCGGGGAAGGGTCGAACGAAGCACTTAGCGGCACGGGTGGGGTACGAATCAGAACTTGCCGCATTGGAGCTGGAGTGAAACTAGCCCTTAATGTTCAGGGCATTACGAGCATATGCCCTTGAATCGACAGGCCTGTTCAAGACGCGACCACCCCAACTCTACTAGCGACAAATCGCCCAACTCGACCCGCCCACGACAGACAATTTTACATTTGCCACGTCAGGTGCTGCCAGCTGCAACTACTGAAAATATCGGCTGATTCTGGCGACGTGAAGACAAAAACATTCAGTTCGAGTATTTGATAATTTGAGGTTCGGTTTTCAGGCTACATCTTTTGGTGCCCTAGAAGGACTTAGGGTACATAATATCTGGTTTCGTTATCTACTTAACACACCGATACGTTTTCACTTGGACTTCACACATGAATTCTTATTGGTTTTCCTCTCGACGCAGCTGTGCAACATTTTCCGGTGTGCTTTCTTGGAGGGGGGGAGAAAGTGCCTCGCACTGTTTCTTTCCTTGGCGTTTTCTCGGTCATCTGACTTTCTCAAGTTGCAGCAGCACGACGGACGACTGAGATCGCTACATCGAAATCTACGGTCCTTGCTCAATCGCGTTTGAATTTCGCGTCGGCCTGTTCCCTCCAAAATCGCGTCAGCTTTCGACCGTCAGGTCTACATCAGCTTTATCAACGGCCCACATTCCAACTTTCAATATATTTGGGCCAGCTCATCCTCGTCCGTCAGATCAAAATCGGACTTCATCAACGGCCTACATTCCAACATCTTCAAAAATATTGTCAAAGGCATTTCAGCCGTCCGATTCAGCTGAAGAGGAGATCTACGGAATCCTCGCTAGTGTGGGGTATGTTTTCAGTACCACGCTGCCTTATTTAGAAGATGGGAGAGTGGAAGGATTTACAAATCCTTACTAAGGCACTCATTAGCGAGGCCATCCCGATGGTCACGCGACGAACCTGTTCTGCATGTTTCGTCGCACTGAACCACCCCCGAGTCACCTCCGCACCAATCGCAACTATCACCGAGCCATCCCTTCCCGAACCCCCCACTTAGCTAGCCTTTCCCCTATTTAGTCGTGCCATCCTCATTGTATCGTCATTCAGTAATTCAGTACTCAACCATTCTCCTTATTTGTTAATCTGCGCACTCTGCAAGTTCATTCATAACAACAATGGCCGGTTGTAGTGGGTCACAATTCCGTTCCGGCGGTGTACTCTAAAACGAGTCGAGATATTTCTGATCGTTAGGCATGCGAGATTATCTTTCACATCTGGCAACATCAGCCAATCAAATAAGCACGTGTCAGTGTCAACAAGGGCTGCAGCAATGTGCATTACATGTACAGCATCGATATGAGTTGGCATCAAATTCAGAGTTACATGAAATGTTTGTAGATGTGCGGTTAGGATCTGTCGCAGCTTGTCCTCCACCATCTCGCGCGAACTAGAACCCGCCTTGCCGCGTGTTTGTCATTATCATTCAAGCAGGTCGTGGCAGACCAACTAGCTCATGGGACGCTCCAAACCAACGTTTCCGTTAGGTTTCCGGCTTTCCAGTGATGTACGTAACGTTACAGTAGTATATCCTCCTGAATTCCACGTTGAAGACAGCTGGGTTGGGTTGCGAACTTGCGAAACACACACGTTCGACCCAATCACCCCACACAACCAAACTATTTTCTGATTTGCTCGAGTACAGGAAAAATCACGCGACCCGGCGATTTTCGGATTTGTGTCAATCCTGTCGACCACTCGTGCACCACGTCAGCACTATTTTGAATTCCAAAAATCCGATCGACCCTACAATAGCTTACGCGGTATGGTTTACATTTTTGCGGTTGGGAGTGGGTGTGTCACAAAAGGTACGTAACTTTCTCGAGAATGGTGTGGCTAGTGCTCTGTAACTTCCCGCATGATATAATTTTGTTGTGGTGTATGTCTGCACAGTAAATACGCCAGTCTCATATAGGTAGTGGTTTAGATATTGCAATTTGGTACTTCTCGCGGTCAATGCCACCTCGGGAAATTATACGGGTAGTCACAGTTAGGCCCGATTTATCACCACGGGGGTATCACGAACAGTCACAGTACACCTCGTAACTAACGCATTGATCACAGTGCTTACACCTTGCCCCGCAAGTCTATCACGTTTGGTCACAGATGAAACGCCCAATCGAGAGTTGTAACTACTCGAGTCACTGTAGGGATTCAGGGAAAAAATTATCGAGCGGGCCGTTTTGTCCGTAGTATCACGAAAAAGTTTCGCGACAACTCTTGGTAATTCGTTAAAAAAATGCACTTTTTGAGCAAACGTATCCACTTTTCGATCAATGCATAATGTCCCTAAGAATATCACTTTTAGAGGGGTGAAACACTAAGATTAATACTTGTTCCCAATACATAACTAAAACCCATTCGGATGGGATATAATTCGGGAGCATCAACCCTAAACACCTTGTCGCATAGTGTTTAGGGTTGATGCCTCCCGAAGGACGTGCCATCCAATAGGGGTCTATTTTTTTTCTTCAATTCCCTAAATGTTAGGGCTAGAATAATGCGCGAAGTAACAAGCAATCAAGGTTGGGATTCCCCAAAATTGCTACTGTTTCTTTCGTTGTTTCAATTTAATTGTGATCGTTTCATCGAATAACCAAACGTGACAGCTTTTCGGGGGGAGGTGTGATCATCCGTGATAGCACTGTGACTGTTTGTAATACCCCTTTGACCAAGCGCAATAAAACAGACATAGTGGTGACCTCCTATACAATCTCCCATGCAACCTCTGTTTCTGCTCGTCGCCTTGTTCAAACAGAAGCGCGTAATCATTGTAGGCATATCCTCTTAACTGACACACGTAATCTTTGCAAAACGCGACAGAATCTACCACCCACAAACCTACGAGTTCAGAAAAACCCTAACGCAGTAGTAATAATTGACACAGAGTGACAGATTCGTGCTTGCAAGTGTAGAAAAAGGGTCGGTCGATCGGATTTCTGGAATTCGAAATAGTGCTGACGTGGTGCACGAGTGGTCGACAGGATAGACACAATTCCGAAAACCGTCGAGTCGCGTGATTTTTCCTCGAGTACAGTATGTGGGAGAGACAGCAAAGGAACGCGGCGAATATGTTACTTTCCTTCGTAATCACAGCATCTCAACCCCGATGAAATTCCAGCTGAAATTCCATGAAATCACAGCTGAAATTCCAATATCACAGCATCTCAACCCCGATGAAATTCCAGTGTCTCTCTTCTTGACTGATTCTTCACAGTCTAGCTTGACAGACGTCGATTTCTACAAATTTTTTTCCCATGGCGCGAGCATCGTCTCGCTTCCACTGGACCTCACTCGGCAGCAGCTACCTACTCGCGTCGTCGTCATTTCATGCCGTCCCTCTCCTACTACTACCGGTCCTTGTAGTAGTACCGCATCACTGTCCGCCACCTTTCTCAACCACTCCGCCTTGGCGGAAACTAGTACCACTACTACTAATAGTAGTGGGAGGAACTACCTTGAATATGCGTATATCGCATGCGGACCAAGCGAGTCGCCTGGTCCATCGCACGGCGAGTCCCATGTGAACGAGCGTCGGATGAGCCTTGTGGTGTCGTCGCCGGCGACAACATTGCTTGCACACAGTCAGCGTAAGCCCCATTCACACGCGTTTCTCATGTGTTCACTGCGTTTTTACACGCTTCATGCATTCCGTCCCATGCTCATATTCTATTCTCGCCGCGTTGGGCCGTGTGCGACCTCGCATGGTGCGACGTGCTGTTGCGTCGTGTCAGGGGCGACGAGTGCGGGGCTCACGTGGGCAGTGCGAGCGCTTGTGGCGCTCAACGCCGCGTGGCTGGTGTGGCCGGCCAAATCCAACAGCTCACGGCGGTGTGAGCAGTGGGAGTACGGCTTCATCACCGCCCTGTACGTCGCTCTGCTCTGTGCGTGGGGCCAGCGAGCGCAGGAAGTGTGAGAGATGCTTTAGGTGGTTGAAACGAGCCATTTACTAGGTACTAGTAGTAGGGGCCTGTGCATGCTTGGCAAAACTGATGCGGGCTCTCTTGCTTTTCCAACTTGGAAATGGACGCATCATTTATAGCACGTACTTTAAGTCACAGCAATGTGGATTTCTTGTGGGTAAAATCTTACCATAGGAGAAATGAACACCATTCAGTTACTTTGCGTTACGGGATTG